AGAGCGGTGCAATGCAAACCCCACCACTAGAAGATTCTCAGAAATTGGCCCAGACAAGATGCGAGTAAAAGGGTAAAGTGTAAAAGGTAGCAAAAGGAATATTGTAAAGTATATGCCAAAGATAATTCAAAGCCTTGACTTACTTGCTGCTACAGGGGTTGTGCTTCCAGTATCTGTTAAAGTGGAAAAAGCAGAAGCATCAATTCTCATCACAGGACATAGACACTAAAATGTGAGAACAACAAAAGCAAATTGCATTAAGAAACAGCAAAAATTTGATATGGAAAATAATCCAGCTACCAAGGAAAGATATTCAGCATGCAGCAGGGATCATGTTATCACTAAACAATTGTGCCTTAATGTACGTATACCTTAATGCTAAACACGGTTTGAAGTTGCAAATAAGTATCCTGCCTAACTTCTATGCTGACTTGGTTCCAGAAAAAAAATGTGACAACTGGATTTATCAGCCTCCAGTTAGACATCAGTTAGGTCAACAAGACGTACAAACATGGAGTCATGATAACTGAATGCCCCTTTAGGTGCACAGCCAAATCTACATTATTTCATAATGCACTGGCAGCCCTATGTTAGGAAAATGAAGATCGCATAGGCTCTTGGTTAAACAATTTATGGGTGAATGTATTGCATAACCTGGATTGCAGGAAAGTATTAATAGGCCACAAAGTAGATCAGCTGCATTTCTCACACTGGGCAATAACATAATGCCTTTTTTCTTTATAAATACATACTTAAAATTATGCAGTTTTGCTACTGCTTTAAGTTAAGTATTGTGCCTGATAGATTGGTTTTTGTCTTTCATTTTTCCAGCAGTTTCATTGAGTACATTCCTCTCAATGTTTCTTCCAGGTTAGATTTACACAGTGAGTGTCCCTTACCCTCATTAGCTGTCATCAGTGATTCTGCAGTAGTAAACATTTCATGTGGGGTTGAAGTGGATGTAAAGAAGATACTGGGTTCTGGTGTTGTGTCTTCTGCAAATGTGACCAGAAAATTGAGGGAATAACTTATTAGTGAGAACAAGAGAACAAACAATCAGTAAAAGACAAAAAACCCAAACCAAACCAAACAAAAACACTGGGAAGAACCCCTCTTCTCTCTGAAAACTAAATTGTTGGTTACCACTCCAGACTTTGTGGAAAAATGAGTTAAATATATATGTATTATCCCTTGACATTTGGTTCTGGGCATCAGAATAGTATCCTCTAGCTAATAATAATTACTATGATAATTTTAAGTGAAGTTGGCAGATTTTTGCTGTTGACATCATTGGTTCAGGAAAGTTGTAACTAACCAGATGGCACAAAAGTTGTGTTGTTAATGTCAGTGTTTGTGGAAAAAGAAAAACATCAGATCTTACTCCTGTAAAAAGCAAACTGATTTAAAGGAAAATAGAAGATCAATGTGGAAAGGAAGGAGAATGATACATCCAGAGCTGATCCTAGGGGCATATCAGCCTGTGCAGGGTCTGTGGGGGGGTGGAGGGGGTGGCGAGCAGCCAGAGCACGAAGCCGGCAGCATGCAGAGCCACACAGGGTGGTGGCACCATTGACACATGCCAATGGCGCTGTCTGCACGGCCTGTACAGCAGTGTTGGTGGGGCCCCCCAAAGCACGGGGCCTGAGGTGGTTACCCTGATTTGCCCTCTCCCAAGGAATGGCTCTGGATACACCTCCCAGCAGGGCATCACCTACATATATAACATGCTGCAAAGAAACCATGTGATCTAGACTTAACCTTCATGATATACAAGCCACAATTATGGTTTATGTTCAAGTAAAATTCTAAGAGAAGTGGTGCAATTCAGTAATTCCCCTTAATAAATGCTGATTGCATTCATTCACATTATTGAGGGGGTATGCACCATACTGCTAACACAACAAGGACAAATGGTCTGGGAACTGGCAGTATGTACTACAGTGCCCATAACACAACGTAAAGTGACACCAGCTAACAAGGCCCCAGAGCAGGGGGGGGTCTGAGTCCCCGTTTTGGGGGAACAGACAAAATTAGGAGAAGGCCCAAAAAGACCAAATTACTACGTGTACATGTGATAAGCTACAAGGACTATGACAACAACACAGAGAGACCAACCAGAGATGGCCATAGATCAAGAGTCATCAGGAGTCATCATGAGGGAAAGAGAATACAAAAGCAGAGATTGAGAGTAGCAAAGGGTCCCTCCCTCCCCCCATTGTCCTCCACCTGGGTCCCACCCTGTCCTTATCTCCTCCCCATCCCAGTCCCCTGGCTAGAGTCCCTGAAGCCACCATGGACAGAGGGCACACCACCAGCCTGTCTCATCCACCCCGCTGGAGGGGAGGTGCAAGCCTCGGCATCCCACCTCTGGACTGCTGACATCTGACAACTGAGAGAGTGCCTCAGGGTGAAGCCTGCGTCCTGGCCACATGTACTTTGACTGATGACAGCCCTAGGATTTGGTAGATATATAGAATTGCTTCATTGCTTGTATTGCTTCTTTTCTGTTATCACTGTGCATCAATACATTTGCCTATTATCAAATGGAGAGGTCATGGTCAGTCTGAGGGTCATGGATATGGCCACTAGGTCCTAAATCCAGAGCCAACAACTGGTGCCAAATGTGAGGCTTGGGATTCTGACTTAGGAACTGAGTAATTCCCCTTAATAAATGCTGATTTCATTCATTCACTTTATTTCCTGTTTTGGCCTATTAAACAGACCATGCTGTAGATCTTTACATAGCACAACTAAAATAGGCTGGGATTAAGCATCCTCTTTGATGGTTGTATTCAAGAGTTGCAAATTTAACTATACCCTCCTAGAACATTTTTTTGCTTCTCTCTAGATGACCTCCTGATCCTCTTCAGTTCTATCACCCAAAACTTGGCTTTTTTAGCATTCAGTATTACATGCTGAATGCATTATTTCCTGTATCCCAGTACTCTCCTAAATCTGCAGCGACTGTTAAGGAGCACGCCCCATTGTATGTGAACTGACACCGAGAACAGACTGCAGTTATTCATGTCTTCATATCATTCAAAGATTTATTTTAGCTTCTGTTTTTGTTCTAAAGGACTGAGGAAAAATCTGAATAGCATGTGCACCTGATCAGTGCACTAACATGCGCACTAGATCAGTGCACTTTCAATGCTCATTTAACACAGTCACATACCAGGAAAAATGAAACAGAAACATAGAAGGGATAGTTATGGGGGAATATCAGGATGCCTCCAGCTAGAATTCTGCTGTTCAGTGCGCACGTGTTACCATACACAGTTTAGGTAATGGATATATGCTCATGTGTCCATAAGACCCTAGAAGCCTTATATGAAGATGACTTAGGCTAGCAGTTTTCTCTTCCCACTGAAGTGATGTCATAAGCTTGTCTATCTTAGTAGATTTGAATACCAACTGATTCTGCCCATTTCCTGGAAAATAATTTTTTTTATCTCTCAGCATCATGAGAAATTTTGGGGTTTTCTGGCGTAGTGATTATTTCTCTCTTTTCTGTGGTGGAGGTGAAAGTAAAGAAGGAATCTGCGTAACCTGAAGTATCTGTTAGAAGGTAAGGAAATAATTTATTAGAGAGCATTAGCACATCATAATAGAAACTAGAAGTGGGTGGTTGATGAAGAAGTTGGATTTCAGACACAATACCTTAGTCTTTCAATTTTGGGGATGACAGGCAGAATTCTGTATTCCATTGATATATACTAATGCAGTCATGAACAAAGCTGGGGGGGGGGGCTTGTGCCAGAATATGGAGATACACACCAGTTAGAGCTCTGTTCAAACAACTGCACGTGCAAGGATTCCAAAATGCAGATGTTGTTTCTGTAAGTCTCTGAGAGCCTGACTGTGGCAGGGCACTGTTGGTGCCTGCCACTTTAAGGGCAGAGTCAAGCAGCCGGCAGGTACTTGATTGCGGCAGCCATTTTAGATCCCTGGCTGCCTATATAAACAGAGCAGTTTGCTACTGGAAGGCCAAGCAGTAACACTGCCTGGCTGCTAAGATGAATACAAAATCCTGGATGTAAGGGTAGGAGCTTAAGGGGATGGTTTGGAGGCTCCTGGTCCTGGGCATGACCTAAAACTGCACCCTGCTGGGAGTGGGTGGCCTGGTGGGGCTCTTAGTGGCGTGGGAGCCCCCAGGAAATGCCAAGCCAGTTACCACCTTGGTGAAGGGTGAGAAGGGGTGCCTTAATCCCAGCCTTCACCTTCAGGTGGGCTATTCATACCATCAGAGCAGGGAAGACCAGGTAAGCTTCAGGAAGTGCCTGAGCCTGCTGGGGGAATGACCCTGCAGGGCCAGGCATGCTTCAAGAAGCACCCGAGCCGGGAATGGGGCACCCCAATCCCTGAGTGCAGGCAGGAGTTGTAGACCCAACTGAGGGACTTGAGTGGCCAATGCTGGGGCCAGGACTGGAAGGGTCAAAAGGGCTAGGGGCCCACTGCGAGGGATGCCCATATGAAGTGAAGAAGCTTGGGGTCCCGACTAGCCTGAGATGGGGCCAGCACTTATACAGAAGCTGAATGTCCCTTTGAAAGGGGCCACAGCTAATGGGTGAAGGGGATAGTTGAGTCAACTGCCTGAGATGCCATCTGTGAGGCTTGGGCTGCAGTGTAAGGCTGGAATGGAGCTGCAGATAGCTCCCCCTCCCCCAATATTGGGGTGTATAATGGGCAGCCTCCCACCTAATTAACACTCAATTATATTCCATCAAGGCATGGCAGGAAAGACAGGTGGGCGGCATGCGCAGAGGCAGGTGGGGAAATTAGCTCTGTGGCTAGTCAGGGACCCTACTTTGCCACACTGATATTTAGAAAATGAAGATTATTTAGGTTAGTGGCCCTTTCTTCCTAGACAGATTACCCCCCACCCCAGTTATGTATCCACCTTACAGTACTTTCAGCTGGTCTGTGTTTCTCTTTTATGACTCATTATTGACTCATTATTGACTCCAAGATGAACATGGGCCGACAATGCGAGGTCACGGTTGGCAGGGCTAACCGGACCTTGTCGTACATCCACAG